GATACACAAAACATACTGGTAGGGGGCGATTATAATTTGTGACTGGATCCTATTCTGGATAAGTCATCCTTGGCAGTATCTAAATCAAAAGCTGCCAAAACCACCCTGGCATTTATGAAAGATCTAAATTTGACAGATGTTTGGAGACGGATGCACCCTCAAAGCAGAGACTACTCTTTCTATTCCTGTCCCCATAAGTCTCATACTAGGATCGACCTTTTTCTCTTATCAACGCAGCTAGTTCATAGAGCATTGGAATCTGAATATTTATCTAGGACCCTGTCTGATCATTCTCCTTTGACCCTTTCTATTTTGATGCCAGAAAAAACAACTAACTCATATAGATGGCGACTGAACCCTACGCTTCTTCAAAAACCAGATTTTTGCATATTTATTAGGGACCAGATAAAGCTATTCTGCGAGACTAACTGTCCTTCCTCCTAAATAGTTTTATACTATGGGACACACTTAAAAGGATAGTGGAAATCCGCGAATTTTGGGTTTAACTTATGTATTTTTATTAAAAAGAAGCATAATAAACAATTTTTTTTAATTTCATGTGCCTAGTTTCATTTTAGTTTCAATTTTACTGCGCCCTCTCAATGAAACGAAATACTTCGGGAATCGTCGGGAATCTTCGGGTGATGACGAGAGCATAGGAAGACGGGCACAAACAATGGCGGACATTCAATAGCATTTGCATGTGAATAGCCGACCTTTATTATGGTGAATAGATGTGTTTGTATGGCTGTAGTGCGACAGAAAAATTCTACGTGACACAACGACATTGGATTAACCTTGAGATGCGTTTTTATTCCGTTGAACACAACTTTTGATCACAAATCAAAAAAGGTAAGACGTAATTATTGTAATATTTTTGGAACCGGATGTTGTTTACTTTCTCTTTTCTGGCTGATAGCTCCAGGAATTCGAGGTCTTACAGTAATGATTACATGTGTGGAATCTGTGGAGTCTCAGCTTTAAATCGTATATCTTGTTTGTGCAGTTAAGATAGTAATAAGGGCATTTCTACCGTGTGTTGTGTGTAAAAAAGCGTTAGCATTAGTTAGCATTGTTTCGCTCAATGCTAATTCAAAGGCTTGGTATTACTCTTGTGTTTTTTCTAGCTAACAATTGTTCTTATTGTCAGTTAGCGGAGTTTCTTACCTTTAAAAGGGTATGAAACATTAATAGTTTCATAAATGTTAAGAAGCCCTGAGACATGTGAGAGAAAAAAAACTGTGGGAGGGGTCCACTGGGGGGACCTTCGGGCTTAACTGGTTAACAATGATTAATATTTGTAAAGGCTACAGGTGATCTTAAGATGCGTGAGCTATGCTTAGGGACCTACCAGTCAAGATTATTTGTGCGTAGGGGTGCATCATCTGGCGCCTGGTCCTGGTCATCCTCGCCATTGCCCATGCCGTGAACCATCACCTCGGGCTCGGGCTCGAACAAATAAGGACGTAATGGTCCATCGTCTAGCTCAATATTGTCACCATCGTCGCTTACTGAACCGGATTCAGATTCAGTTCCTAAAACGACATTTTCGTAGGAAAGCCGAGAGGATGTTTCTGACTCGCTATCATCACTGGATACCTCGTACAATCCTTCTTCTTTGTCTGGTATATTTGCCCTTCCACGTTCATTCTGCATAGACGCCATGGTTTGTTATCGTATCGTCTTCCTGAGTTTTCGTCACTTCCGGTTTGGCTGAAGCGATAATTTCGTTTCTAAAAAACTTTGGGGAAGCTGCAATAAAGTGCTTCTAAAATGCCCAAGGCAATTATTATATATTTGTAATCAGGTGTGATTGTTTTGGTACGTAATTATGCTTGTATATAAGTTAAAACGAAACTATTTGAGGTTCCATTTCCACTATCCCTTTAAAGCTTATTTAAGGGGACAAATAATCTCTTATACAAAAGGTATTAAAAAGAAATATATGGCAGAAAAAGAAAAACTGGAAACAGATATTTTGAAATTGGAAAAGGAGTTTCAACAATCTGGGTCCAAGGTATTAATTATACCAATCGCTGTTAAACATGAAGCTCAAATACAATACGCTACAAACTTATACAATTGAAAAAGCCATTTTAAGAACTAAACAAAGGTATTATGAATTGGGAGAGAAGGCACATACAATTCTGTCCTGGCAACTCAGAACAGAGGAAAGCTCAAGAACAATTAACGCAATTCAAACTGAAGCGGGTTCAATAATAACCCGGTGGAAATTAATGACACATTTAAACAGTTTTATGCAAATGTATATACATCGGAATCACCAGAAGATCTGACTAAAATTGATGAATTCCTGTCCACTATTGACTTGCTAAAGCTTGGCCAAGAAGACCAAAATAAACTTCTACACTCAGAAAGAAATTGAAAAAGCTTTGGGCTCATTGCAATCAAATCGCCGGGAGAAGATGGTTTCCCACCAGAATTTTACAGAGAATTTAAGGATTTACTCATCCCACTCATTATGGATGTAATTAACTTAGCATCAAAAACTCAAACTCTGCCTGAATCATTCTCTACTGCCATAATCACTGTGATCCACAAACAAAATAAAGTACCATTAAAGTGCTCTTCATTTAGACCTATTTCATTATTGAATTCGAACTATAAATGAATATCTAAGGCCCGGCTAACAGGCTTGGCCAATGTGTGCCACAATTAATTGATCCGGACCAGAGTGGTTTTATTTCTAAACGTTCATCAGCTGATAACTTATGTACGCTCTTTAATATTATCCACCTAACAAAGTCAAAGACTGAGCCCAGTATAGCTGTAGCTTTAGACGCTGAAAAGGTCTTCGACCGGCTGGAGTAATTTATGTAAAGACAGTTTGTCAGCTACTATTAATGCCAGGTACAGACTGGTTCACTATAATTTCCTCCATCAACTGTACCTTACCCCACAGAAACTACATAGATCCAAGCCCGAGCTGTCAGAGATGTGCTTCAGGTATGGTATCGAGGTCGGCTCCTTCCTACACTGTACCTGGCTTTGCACAAAAGTGAGGCTCTTTTGGTACGATTTGTATGACACCTTAACCAAGATCACATGATCTACCTTCCCTTTAGATCCTGAGCTTTGCTTACTGGGCGATTTCACAAGTCTCAATAGATCTTCAACTAAATCCCAAATTAAATGTATGGAAATTGCTTTATGTGTGGCTAGGAAATGCATAACACTAACATGGAAATCTGACTCTCCTCTCCTCATTGATAAATGGTCTTTAGAAATGAACAGTTGTATTCCTCTTGAAAAGATCACATATAGTCTTGGAAAAGATATATCATCTGATTAACCAACAGGCCTCTGGATATACAGTAGCACTGTGTATGTGTAGTATCTCGTTGTGTTTTGATTTAGGAGGGGGGATGTTTTGCGTTTTTATGCTACATGTTTTTTTTGTTTTTGTTTAATTGTTACATAAACCTGAAAATTATAAATAAAATATTACAAAAAAAAAACAGAACCCAATACCTATCAGAAAAGTTCAACAAAGGGCTCACAGGTAGAGCATATTTCAAACCAACAGAAATAATATTTCATCTCATCATGTTTCCATCACTGAGAGCACATAATGCTGCATGTGTTTGAGCACATAGGAGACAAACCGCCTCACTAAACAGGCATTTGAGATGATGATGAGTGTGTTTGTGGTGCGGGGGTATGATGCTGTTTCCATGGTAACAGAGGAGAGCTGGGAAGTGGGCCTCTCTCTTAAGGCAGTAGGCAATACAGTGACGCAGATGTTCTGGAAGGAGACATGGAGGATGTGGATGACGGACTTATTGTGCATGTTAGTGGTGTGAGAGAGAAGATGGTTTTATCTGCAGGGGGTTTCCTTTCTTTCTGTTTGAGCCCAGATGTTCTTAACAAGAAGCTTCATTAACTTCCTTAGAGGTGATCCAGATATTAAATGTGAAATGTAGAATTCCCTGGGTACTCTTTAAGTGTTAATTTAACACTTAAAGAGTCAATTTTTAACACTGAGCCAGTGAACATATGAGTGTTAAATGAACACTCCAGATTTGACTGTGTAGTAACATGGCACCGGGGAGGTTCCTCGGAGCTCCTAAGCCCGAGATCTGGATCACTTTTTCAAAAAGGGGTTGAAGGGAGATTGAAAAAGTGAACACAGACAGGAGGTTTCTCGGGGAGACAGAAAGACAGACTCATCTGGAAGGATGGTTTTAGATTTTTGAAAGGACAGCTTGTCTTGCGATAATGTGCTCCCTCATAATAAAAGTCTTAAACACACACTCAAACAGACACACGTTTGCTAGAGCTATTAAATGCTGCTGTTCAGAGAGCATGGTTACATTACAAACCATTTGGGCAATCTCAGTTCTCAGTTATTGTAACTCACTGCAAATAAAGGAACAAAAACCTTCTTTAGAAGAAAGACTATGATGACGTTATAGCATGTTTTTATGGTTATTATCAACACCTGAAAAGTGTGTCAGACACATGAAAAGTCTTTAGAATAATATCATACTAACAAAATGTATATGGTTCATATGGTTTCAGATGTAGCTGCTGTTTTACATAAAACCGGACCAAAAAACAAGAATTAAAGGGAAAAAGTTATCCTTAAGCAGCTAAATCTAGGCTGAGACGTGCCTGTGGACACACACACGCTTATTATTATTATTATTATTATTATTGTTGTTGTTGTTGTTTTCATCCCTCTACTGCAGTCACTCTTACTCCATCTAATTGCACATTTCAAAATGGAAGTGGGTAGTATATAACACAGAGTACATTTAAATAACACTAAAATAATCAGTCTCAGTGATAATGAGGTCCAGTGGGGGTGCATGGGAAGATAGAGCATGTCGAAGATGGTACAGAAAGAGAGAGAGCAGGACTGATAGGAGGAAGTTTGCAGCTACTGAATACACGTCATAAATGCCAGTACGACATGGACAAATAATAGGAGACGCAGTCTAAGAATCAAATACAATATTATATTTCCCATAGCCTACCTTGTGCACCAGTTCCTCATCATATGTGGTGGGCGGGGGGGTCTTCGCCTGGATGTCACAGCTCTCTCTGGACTCGAACCCGCTATCAGGATGGATCTCCGGGTAATCTGTGGTGTAGTGCGCAGAGATCGGCTCCATGGACTCCATCCGCTCCATCCTGTCCTCCGCGAGCTCTGCAGCCGAGCAGCTCGCGAGGGGGATAAGACTCTCCCTCTCTCTCTCTCCCCCCCTCTCTCTCATTCTCTTCTGAATCACTCTCTCTCATCACTTAACATTTAAAAGGCATGTCGTGATCGCGGAATACAACAGAAAGGTGGGGGAGGTGGTGCTGCTGGAGAGAGGGTGAGGCTGAGGGAAGGAAAGGAAGTGAAGTTTGACAGGGAGGATAGGAGGAGGGGGATGGGGAGAAGGACAATGGGAGGACGAGGAAGAGGAGGATGAGAAAGAGAAGGACGACGAGAATGGAGTGAGGAGGGGTGGCTGAGGAGAGTGAGCATGTTTTGGTTTATCAAAAAGGCAACATTTAAATTATTACAGAGTAGATATTTACATACACATCAGTAACACATCTAAAATAATACATATTCACAACGTTTTTTTTGTTACACTAAATCAGACATAACAAATGTGCAATTATTCATTATTACAGGGAGGCTGAGGATCCCGCAGCACTTTTCACAAAACAGACTAAGATCTTAGGTTGGCAATGATAGAAATGATGTCAGAGATGTGTTGTGCTTTATTATTTCGAAACAGTTTGGTTCAGTCTCCCTTAACTTCCACTAGAGTTTGCACAAGAGTAACTTTTATTTTTACTACAACATGAGGGCAGTTTGAGATAAGTAAACTCCCCGCCTCCTCTCTTCAGGGTGTTAATATTTATCCCCTGGTTCATTCTTATTTATACCAAGTCTGTGTCTTAGTTTCCAACTTTTTGTGGGGAGCACCAAAGACTGTTTTCCTCTCAGTCAAAAGCGAATGACAGTTTGTCTGAAAGTTAGAGTATACAGATTCATGTAACAGCTCAGAAGGATTCCTGCGATGACCCCCGAGCTGCTGACTGTCATCGTCTCTTCAGGTGAGTGCAACCCTTAATGCCTCTGCACTGTCAACATGTATACTTAATGTTGTAGGTGGAAAGTGAGGGAAAGCATATTGCTTTAGTGTTACTTTTTTCTCATTGCTGATGTTTACACTTTGTTTTTTTAACCATTATATCAGTAATATGAGTAGAAGCGGATAGATCTCACTAGGTAGAAAGAAAGTGAGGTCATAGAAAACTATTTCTGCTAAAAAGTTAGAAATGATTGTCAGACCTAAACCTTTGTTATTCATGTTTTATTATCTTTGCTTTTGCTTTGCCTCAGTATTTTTAAAGGGAGGCAATCCTCATGACACGCATTTTTAAATAATTATCATCCGATAAAACAGACGAGTCTCTGCCAGTCCTTTTTTTTTTTTGTAATCCGATGACGTTATCAGTGATTTTAAGCTGATTAATTACCGAAATAACATCAACCCTGTGGGCGGCGCCATTTTGACGAGTCACATGACTTATTTTACCGGAAGTGACGTGAACTATGCGTTTGGTGTCGAGGACAAATTGACGTATGTGCTTTGTTCATGTTGTTTACTCTAGTTACTCTCACAATTCTATTGAAATATGCCTCATTGTATCGCGAAACATTGCCACAATTCGGATAGGAACAATCCACGGAATGCTCGGTTCCATCTATTGCCAACGGGTAAGCGTAGGAAGTACGTTCGGAGGCAGTGGCTAGCGAAATGTGCTCGGCCCGAACCGAAAGATCCACAGGCGCATGTATGCAGCGAACATTTCAAGTTTCCGGACGACTACTCTGAGAGTATGATGAAACATAAAATGGGATTTATTAATCAACCATTACTTAATGGGGATGCAGTGCACTGCCAATGCCAGCCAGCGTAAGCACATTACTCAGCAGACTTTACTTATTGTTTACTACGTAAGGAAGCAGGAATTGCAGGACCCAGAGCGCACGGAGCACAGAGCGGACAGCAGATAACGGAATTGCAGTTTTATTGCTTATAGATTATCAGAACATTTCAAAGGGGACACAGTCACATTGGATATTAACCTATGGATTAACTACATCATCATTGTTATCGTTGTAATGCCATTGAAGACCAGTTTAGACCAGACAAAGACGAAGGTAAGCCATGTTAGCCTAGCGCATGTTAGTACCTAGCGCCACTTGTTTTGATGTACGTTTTTGTTGATAACCTTGCGAGTTTGTATCTTTCAGTGTTGAGGTGAGCACCGTTAGATTCTGTGTCTTTACGATCATAAACGATGTGTTGGATGTGCAGCTAGGATAAGTAATAAGGGAGCTAGGAGTGATTTTCGGTGCAGTAATAGGTTAGCATTTTTCGCTCGGGGCTAATTCAGAGGCTCACTGTTAGCATTGTGTGTTTTTTTTGAAGAAAAAAATGAAAAAGATCAGTTAAATTAGTTATATGGATATAAAATATTCATAGTTTATTAAATATTAAGGTTCATTAGACGTTGTTTCCTGCAAATGACGCGATTTTGGCCCCGGAACCGGGTCCGTGGGGCCTAAGAGGATAACAGAGTAGGTTTTTTATTTTTTTTATAGTTGTATTTGGATGGAATGAATACCTATAGTGATAATTCAAAGTAATCAAATGATTTTTACAGTGAAAAAGGTCAAATGGAACTGATGGTTCCCAAATTACCCAGAGGTGAGTCCGCCTGGACTTTATTTTTCTAAACTTCTTCCTCGGCTGACGAGTGCGAACTCAAATACTCCATGGGAGCCTGCCTGCAGACCTCCACTCTCAGGACAGTTCCGGTGCAGACCTCTACTCTCAGGACACCTCCACTGTCAGTACAGGAAGTGACGATTCTGAGGCATTTTTTTTCCTGCCCACCGAAGGACTCGTTTGATGGAAGTTTTCAAATCACAATGGAGACTCATCACGGAGGTGATGAGTCCGCCCACCGTGCACTTTTGACCCCCCCAGCCTGGTTCTTGTAAAAGTTTTTCGCTCAAATGACACCATGGAGGAATGTAACGGGAGTTGACAGGGGACTCTGCCCGCCTCACGAGTGTCTATTTTCGGACACTTTTTTTCACTTTTCCCCGGTTTTATGATTTGTTTGGCTATTTCACCCGGTTTCTACCGGGGACATTGCCCCCCCCCCCCCCACGGCCTGTGTCCAGCCCCCCTCTTCCTTCCCGGGCCGGCCGATATGAAGCGTGACCAAGACGCACCGTACAGGGGTCCCACGGGGTGAAGGTTCCCAGCTGGAACCTCCCCACCTCCGCTGCGGTGCACTCGGCAAACACGGTTGTTTCTTGAACCTTCCACTGTTGTCTAGCGGGTGTAACTAAAATACAAGATGTCATATTTATATATATAAATAAATATATATCTATATAAATAAGTATCAGTACGATTTTATTTTGTATTTGCGTGCATTTCCTGTTCGGAAAGTGGCGCTGCGGCTTTACTGATAGTAACAACAATACAAGGTGTCCGTATATATCTATATATATATAGATATATACATATGTATATAATAAGTGTCACGAATCACGATCCGTCAAGATCCGATTTTATTTTGTATTTGCATGCATTTCCTGTTTGGAAAGTGGCACTGTACTGATAGTGATGATTTTATTTTGGAATTCTTAGCGTGCACTTCCTGTCCTGAGAGTGGAGGTGTCCTGAGAGTGGAGGTCTGCACCGGAACTGTCCTGAGAGAGGGGTCTGCAGGCAGACCCCTCTCAAATACTCCGCCATGTTTTCGTCGTGTGTTTACAAAGTGAACGCATAGATGACGTCACGACCTAGTTTTTCGGATCATGTGACTACTGAAAATGGCCAAAATGGCAGCTGCCTGACGGAATATACAGGTTTTTGAAAAAAAGAGCTATAAAATCATTATTTACTGGGGAATATCGCTGATTTCTTCAGGGTATGGTTTAAACATAATGTTTCACTAAATACTGAAGTTTTTATTAACTATCTAATGACTGGAGCCTTCCTTTAAATAAAATAAAATGTAATATGTTTCGTAATGCTCTTAATGTCTTTCATTTTTGTAAAGCACTTTGTCTTGTGTTGAAAGGTGCTATATAAATAAACTTGCCTTGCTTTAGAAAAGCAAAATAACTACCACCTGACTGGGGCGCTGCAGAAGCTGCCCTCTTATGTTATGAGAGTGTTCGTAAGAAGGACCGGCAGAGACGGATTCACGTTCTGATCCCACAGCGATTCAACCTCAGCGGGTGAGCTCACATAGGAGTATGTCAGGTCCTGTCAGAGCTAGTTTCTCTGCAAACTTTTTATAGCACGTCATAATGTGACATGAAAAATGTCAAAAATATTTAGGGGAAATACACTAAAGAGAAGAATTACAAGATTCAACTTCCATGCAATAGACCTAGCTTAGCACAATAATACAAACAGGAAGAAACTGCTAGCCAATGATCTCTCCAAACTTCAGAAATACACCCGCTGAGACCTCTAAAATTCACTTATTAACACCTTGCATCTCATATGTTTGTTATATGTGTATCAACACAGCAATGTAAAAATGATTTGCTGTCCCTTCAAGAGAGGTTCAATCTCAAACACTGTTTTCACATGATCAGATACACTGCTCTGGCTGTGCTGTTGATTTGCACCAAACTGTACTGCGTCAGAGTGCTGCGCTTAGAGTTACAATTATTTCAACTTTGATCTTGATTTGTGGGAACGTTTCTATGTTTATGTCTAAGCAGCAAAAGCAAACTGTTAGTTTCACAGGTGCCAGAGCCAGGCTATATTTTTCGAGTCTTTATGATCTGCTGTTCACCTCCAATCTCCAGCTCTGCAGCGAAGCCAGACAATTTTATGTCTGTCCGCCGCATCTACGCACTGTAGGCCTACCACACGCAGGACATTTAAGAATTGAGAAGCCTCTCAGGAAATGGATTTCAGCGTGCCATGTTGAAGGACATCTAATTTCTCTAAATGCACAACGAAGACCGAGCATCGAGGAGGCTCTCTGGAGGAGCTATAACCGAGGATACACTGATGCATCCTCCACGGCTCCTCCACGGATGCATTTCCGGGAACGGTGGAGGCGTGACGCACGGCCGGATTTATCTCAGCCAATGACAGCTCTGCATGCATCCCCTGGATATTATTTTAGTATGCTTTCATCGCGATGCGATGTTTACAGTGAGAACAGCTGTGAGGTCCGTGCAGAAAGCAGAGCAATGTGTAAAATATCACTCAGTATAACAGGCCTACATTACTCTCTGTATTTGTATGCTGTAGTTTAGTAGATAACTACAAACATAGAGTCGATATTTTTCTAAGA